AAGATCAGGAGGGGCTCCACACGAGTACACTCAATGGACCGACCAAGATCTGGCCGCTGCCACATCTTCTCACTTCCCTTTTATTCTAGAGCGCCACGCTCAGCAGCACCAGGACCAGGGAGACCATCAGCCGCAGGAAGCCAGAGACAGAGAGTGGACAGCAGCTCAATCAGCGAGGGAATATGAGAGAGGACTTCTCAGGGAGGAGTGGCAGAGAAGGTGGGAGCCCTGTGGGCCTGTCCGATACAACACGGAAGTTTCTGCAAAGAGGAGCGACAGCAGCTATCGGGAGCTGGAAGCTTGGGCAGCACGATACAGCCATTCACTTCCAAGGAGGAGACGTATAGAGGCAGAGATGAGGGGTACCTCTCAGGAGAGCAACAGGGCTCCAGGGAGGGAGAGCAGGAGTGGGACGGATCCTCGCCTGGAAGCGCTGCAACAAGTCAGACAATCTGCAAACGTCAGAGAATCAGGACTGTGGGACAGAGGCGGCAGACAACAAGCTCCAAATTATTATACATTACAAACTCCTGCAAGCGACACAAGCAACATGTTGGACATGAAAGAAAAGATTGGCTACCAACAGAGGATGTTCAGCCAACCTCCTGGATACATTGCCCCTCCTCCCTATGACAGCCCACATAAAGGTTCACCTGTGTTGAACCAGTGTGATGTGAGCTGGGAACAGGAAGGTAAGAGACAAACCTACTTGTCACAGCCTAAACTCAGAAAGCAGGATGTCTGTGTAGATTTGCAGGAGAAAAAGCAGTTTATAAAACAAGCTGGAATGCTAAAAAGCTTTCCAGAGCTTGAAGGACTAAAGCACAAACAAAAGGAGACAGGTGCTTTACAGACAAGAAGTCATTTTAGTGCCCAGGAAACACACATGCAGCACGAGGGTATGTCGTATCTGCAGCAGCCACAAGTGTTACAAGCAGTTGAGAATACAAAGATTAACGAGGAGGGGTCATACTCAAAAGTCATTGAAGGAAGAAAGTTTAGATTAAACAAAAAGACAGGCGGACTGACCATATTTTGCCTGGTGTCGAGAATAGCAGGCACCACAGAAACTCCTTCTTTGCCACTTTGTTCCTTACAAACAAACAATGAAAACACAGAATTGAGAAGTGTTTCAAAAGGTCTATGGGACAATAGTGGCTATAACCAAAAACACAAACTTGCTGATGAGGTAGACTTCAGAGCCACAACACCCACAGAGCAGTCAAATACCTCTGATGCTACACATGTCAAGAGGGAGGCACCAACCTGTGTAGAAAGTGAGATGCTTGAGGATACTATAGCTAAGACAGATCTTTTTCCAGCAGAAGCGCAAACAAATAGTGTTGATTCTGCATTTGGGAGACAAGTTGCTCAGTCAGTGCCAATAAAATATCCTTTGTGGAGGGAGCCTATTTTCTCAAGCAGGACTGAAACTGAGAGGTCATCTACGTGTTATAAAGCAGACAGTGAGGACGGAGAATCAGATGTTCTGCTCAACCAAGGGGAGTCTGGTGAAGTCCATCCAATTGATGTTGAAGTAAGGAAACTTGACATCAAGAAAAACCCACAATCTGAGGACAGTAATAATCCACTGCTTATCGACGCAACCTGTATTTTTGTTCAAATGGAGCAGATTCCCTCTCCTAAGAAAGAGCATGTTCTGTATTTACACACCCAACACAGTCCGCTTCAATCGACCACCTCTCCTGAATGTTTCGAATCAAACAGTTGGATGGATAAGGATGACCTCAACACAGAACCAAAGCCTTTCCACATCAATGACATGCTCAAGAACGAATTCGACTCAGATCCTATGGAGAAAAAGGCACCCGAGGAAGAAAGTATAATATCTTCCCTCGGCATGTCCTTTTCATCCGTTTTTGAAAAGGAAACGTTGGAGGAGCGCGCTGAAAGGATCTTAGGAATCTCTCTTCTCGACTGCATTATTATGCATCAACCTGAAGATGCATCATCATTGCTGGGCTTTTGTGTGGAGAACCAGGAGGTTAAACCTTCTACTATTAAAGATACAGACATTGATGAACAAATCCCAGATGACCAAAGAGAAGAGGAACCGAATCAGTTTGAGGCTGTCAAAACTGAGGTTGATGTTTGTTCGCAAGAGAATGATGTGGCCAATGATCAGGCGGAAATCGAAGATGGTAGGGGTTGTGCAGGACCTCAGGATCAGGTGTCTAATACTTCTCAAGTGAACAACATTGACTCACAACTCAAAAGTGACATCAAAGCTTTATCTGCAATTGAAATGACAGAGAATCCCCTTAAACCTGTTACAACTGAGCAGGAAGAAAAGGATACCTCTCCCCATTATCCCTCTCAGTGTCTCTGGCCATTCAACGACCTCTCTAATTCTTCTTTGTGTTCACCCTTTCCAGACTTTGAAGCACCAAGCTCTGATCCACCTCTCATGCTCTCATCTTCTGATCCTACACATCTTTTGCATATCTCAAATTCAGAAATAGAGGAGGGTCCTGATCCTGAGTTGATTGCCCTCAACTCTGCAGAAAGTCATGCTCCTTGCTCTGAAAACTCTTCTCTTCCTCAAAACCCATCCTCTCTATCCCCTGCATCTACTGACTTTTCCCCAACCCCTTCTCCTCTTGATTTTATAAATCAAACTGCAGGATCAGTGTCCGATATCGAGGTGCAGGGTGAAGAGGGTGAAACGTCACAGCTAATACATGAGATCAGAGACACCTTTGAGGGCGTGGCAAAAGAAATAACAGAAGAGATAGTGTCACAACAACAAGTTGAATGTGGCCAAACAGATGATGCTGCTTCTGTGAAAGAGAGCGATGTCACGGATGAACAACAAACAAAAGAAACAGATAAGAGTCCTACAGACCCCATCATGGAACAAACAGTTGAACCAACCCAAGAAAATGCCAAAGAGGTCGACATTTTGCAGCAACAACTTGAATGTTTCCAAGGAGAGGATGTTGCTTGTGTTAAAGAGACGTGTATGACTGAAGAGCCAGAAGAAGTCAACGAGGATCCTACAGATTGCTTGGATCAGTCAATATCTCAAGAACATGTAACTGACAGTGAAACTCATACAGAGGCTTTACAGCAGACATTTGATAATGGCCAAGAAAAGGATTCTTATACACAAGAGAGTTTAATGACTGAGGAGCAATCACACAAAGACGCAGATGAGGACCCTACAGATCCTCAGGAACAGACCCAATCCACAGAAAATGACTCTCAATCTCAAATAGATATCAACATGGACATTCAACCACACTCTGAACCCTTCAACACTTCTCCTCCCTCACCTTCAGGCTCAGGCTGTGAGGTGTCTCAATCAGCTTTGGATGTGCTATCACCATCAGAGCTTTCTTCTACACCAAACACATCAAACAAGACAGACTCAGAGTTTGATTCTCTTTCGGAAATGAGCTCAGTCTGTCCCTCAGCTCTCAATCCTGATGCTGCTGCCGCTGCTGGCATTCAAGAAACAGTCCCTCCTCCTCTTTATCTGGACTCTTGTGAAGAACCACTTGAGTTCTCATCTTCATCTTGCACTGATTCACCCTCAGTCCTGCCTTCCAGCTCTTCAAGTCTTCATCCACAAGAGGAAAGTGGAAGTTATGACCCTGACTTAACACTCAAAGAAAAGCCTGAGTATCCAATGTCTCTGTGGGATGCGGTGAATCGTATTAGGAAACATACAGCGCCTGACTCTGAGAATGAGGAGGAGGAAGTAAGTGAGTTGTGGGATCCAGAGAATGGAGGGGAGGACTTGGGTTTACCAGACGTGGTAGTGGGCATAAAATCATCAAAGAGGATAGTCATTGATGGATCATGGCAACACAACGCTTTAACAGCAGGAAGTGGTGAGGATGTAGAGGTGGAACACATCCAGGAGGATCTGTGTCCTGAAGAGCCAAGTGCATATGTTGAAGAAGACACTCTGTCCTGCAGCAGCTTCAGCAGCCACGGCTCTGGGGACACCGTTATTGAAGCAGAAGAAGACGAGTTTGAGGAAACGCCTCATGATGATAGGACAGAAAGCAAGACAGGTGATGACGATAGGTTTCAGGTGGCTGAGGAGGAGCAATGTAGCTGTGCTGAAGTAAAAGGTGCAGCTAAGGAAACGTACCCAATGGAGGTGGAGAATATAGCCAGCAGGGCAGTGGAAATGACAGAAACAGGGCCAGAAGAAAATGACAATGTGGTTTTCATGACATCAGAGGTTTCAGATCAAGCAATCATTGAAATTGAGTCTTTAAAAGAAAACGTGAACAACAGCGAACTTTTGGTCCCTGATATTTAACTAACAATTATATCTAAATGTTAATGTGTCTGAAGCAATTAAGCAGATTTTCGGTGAAATCTGTTTGAGCCTTATTTTTGAGTGATAAGTATTGATGTAATTACTGTTGTTTTACTATAGCATTGTAGGAATTTGACACTCGTGACACCAAATCAGATCAAATAGTAAAGCTTAATTGTGTGTGGTTCGGTGATAGTCGTTTTGGAGGATTTCACTGTTATCTGATTTCAAAATCTAGACCTTTTTCTGTGTTTGATCTGAAGTTATGTCAAACAACGACATTTTAATATTGTGGTTTAATTGTTGAGTGTTTATGGAATCATGATAAGATTATCATAAGGGTGCTGGGGCGAGCCTTTTTCCGAACTTCGACTAAGTGGAGAAAAAGCCACTGTTTCAGACTTCTAAAATCCCTGCTCCACAATGTTTAAGGTAAATCAATGGGTGTGAAATTAGTGGAAGTAAACATCATATTTAATTATTTGAAGTGATTTAATGGTGTGGTGATATTTCTGGCAGAAATGTAGCCATTGTTCTGTATTATAAGTAAATAAAATAATAGAGTGCATTAACACAAATCCTTAAAAAGTCAATATTGTGTTGTGAGTGATTTGCTGGTGTCCAAGTTCAAGAATGAACTGTAATCCTGTGATAAATGGACACACATATAACATATTTACGTTCATTAAAGACAACACAGATGCAAAGGTCTTACAAAGTTTATATATAAAAAGTAATCAGTAAATCAGAAGAATGTTCACAAGACAGCATGTTCGGATTTTTTCAAACATTGAAAATACATGATACATGATACTTTTAATCTACATCTACAGTACAGCATGAAGACTCTCCAACTGAGATCTTAATCATTTGGACTCAACTATCAGATTGTGGACGACAGCACACTCTGGTGGTGTTACACTGGAGTTTTACTAGACAAGAGGAAACAGAACTTAACTCTTGGTGCTTGAAATACAAATTTTAAAAACGCTTTAAATATTGTGATTAAAGGTGATTGCAACTGGATTACATACTCCTAAATCTATAAACTATTCTAAACTAATTTTTTTACTTTTTGTGTTGGTATAAAGATATGTTCTGCTCTGGATCAGAAGGGCAGCATGTTGGGAAAGTAAACCATTTGCTGAAAAAAAAATCACTGTAAACATTAGAGGACTCAGACAAATATGAAATCAATAGCAAGGGGCCTACATGGGATTCATATTTCAAGAGTGTTGACATCAATTTGTTCAGCTATAAAGGCATATTTTGTCCTTTGGTAAAACTAATTATTCTCAAATTGTACATCAGAAAGTTATTCCTGTGATCTTGTCGACATTCAATAAACTAGAACTGTAAAATGACACTTTCATTGTTGAGTTTTTTATCAATGCAAATGAATAAAGATTTAAGGACCACTTGACCAAATTTCCACCTCGGTGTAATTCAATGATATTGCTGAATGTACAGTTAATCCTGTAAGAAATCATGTAGCTATGCACTCAGAAGTATAACTTCATTTGTGCAGTTTCACAGTTTCAGTTTTATCTGATGAAAAGTATGTGGAGGCAATTTTTATATGAAACCCAGACTATAAAAAAATTGTAAAATAACTTACAGTATATAAACAAGTGACAGGATAGTCCAAAGACATACATTGAAAAAATGACAAAATGGTCCTTAAATCTATTCTATTAAATTGTCAGAAATCATAGGAATAACATTTTTATTTTCAGGTGGATCTTTAGGTATATTTCATAGTAACTAACTGTATACATCTTCTACCACTACCCTTAATGTAAACCGGGGATGAGAGACAACTGAAAACATGACGGCTACTGACGTCTCTGTTTCAGATGGTTAGATGATATCAAAGTTCGTCATGGGGTATTTCCAGAGCGTGATCACAGAGGTCTGCAAAGCAAAGGGGACATGAACATAATTAAATAAAATACAATCACTACAGTAGAACAAAATGTTCAATAGACCTGTAAACCGCCATACACGGCATGTTTACTTTACAGCATTGTTGGGGTCCAGAGGGATCAGATGTAAAACTCAGCATTAAAAAAATAAAAAATAAATATCAATCGAAGTGATTCATACCTGTCCTCATGCTGCAGAGTTTGTCTTTGATATTATCTGTCTCGTGACCGAAGAATTCAATGACTTCATCTTCATGCTGCTCAACAATTGTTTCACACTGGAGAAAAACATTAAAAAAAACTGTTACAAGCTGCACAATTCATAGTAAAAGTCACACGACTTTAGGCTGTGGGTTGCATCCAAAATGTTTATTATCAATACCAAAAAAGGAATGTTATGCAACGGCATGAACACAGGTGCCTGCTTTGAATATTCGATGAAATGTTTTACTTACTGCAAATTTTAAACTGCCTGTAACTCTTGAATCCAGCTTAGCCTCTGAAAGGTCCATCGCTCCACCAGTCCGAGACTTTATCCTAATGTAGGACTTCCTGTTTGTGGAAGAATCACTGCGCTCACCGTAGTCCTCCATCCTCTCACACACAGTCTCCATCAGCTCAAGTAGGTTTCCCTCAGAGCGGGCCAGGGGAACCTGGTTGCATCAATCATCATTCAAAACTTTCAATTATTGCAACCCTGCTTTAAAAATAAAACAAGCTTTAATATATAAGATTGGAGACAGGTCTGGTATATTTATGAGACTTTTTAAAGTGGTGCATCCTACAGAGTGGGTTAGAGGGGGTTTTGGACACGTCACTACGGCTGTGCTGCATCCTCACCTCTCTGATGGACTGACTGCCGTCTGGGTTAATCCTGAAGGATCCCGTTTGGATCATTTTCTTTGGATCTACCTGCGAGATGGCCCACTCCATCTCATCTACCAGAGCCCTGCACGCTGTAGGGAGCAGGGGGAGAGGAGACAGGCATTAGGACGTTTCTGTTCTTAACAAAGAGCGAGCTTAAGATACAGACACATACCTCCACATTTCATGTCCTGTCCCTGTCTTGCTGCCTGGCTGAAGCTCAGGAAGAGACACAGAAACACACACGGTGTGAACAGGATGGCCGCTTCCCTCATCTTGCATCTAAACACAGTTTACACCACAACAAACAGGCTGTGTTATTATCCGGCACAAGAAACAATGAAGTGACTGTAAGAAGTTAGCTAAGCCTCAGCAGCCACCGCTAGCTACTATAATGTTGTTAGTCGGAATCCCATTAACCAGAAAAAGAACATGACACAAAAACACAAATGTTGTCACGTTTTCATTTAACTTACATGTTTCTTGTAGTGTTTTGTGAGACACCTTCACGATTTACACGCTGTTACATCGCATTCGGTGGAATGTGGTGACGTAGGCACCGGAGCCGCTGGATAGGAGGGAGCCGCGAACGAGACAGCGCCCTCGCGTGGCCGGGAAGATGCCAACAGCTGCTAGTGTTGTAACCAAGGTAACCTTTCAGCACAGAAGAGACCTCCGTGACTACTGAGGGATGTTGTTGGTTTTATGGCGGCTCAACTATAAGTTTTCGACTGAAGACAAACACTTGTGCAGGATCATTGTGGTGTTGTGGGGGCTAAACACACACCATTTTCTTTTCAATATACACGTTTGATGACATCTAACTTAGCCATCTACCTATAGACTCTTATCAAGGGCCCACTAAACCAAGAGGGACAATATTTCTATACAGCTTTTTAATTTGGCTTTTAATTCAAAGTAATGTTATAACTGTTTAAGTTTCAACCATTAGTTGTTACATTATTTAAACGTTTTATTAAATTGACATTTATTTATTTGCAACATTTGTATTTAGTTATTGTTTTACACTTCAGAGAACATTTAAATAGGCATTGGTTCTTCAGAGACAGTGAATATATTTCCAACCAAATATTTTACTTTCCTATATTCTCTACATTTATTAAACTGGGTGTTACAACTAAGTAAATGTTCACATTTCGGGCAAGGAGTAGTCTAAAACTTATATCTAACTTATCTAAACTAATTTCTGCAAACAAAATAAAAAGCAACATAAAGATTTGCTTAGCAGGGCTGCAGAATAAGCAGCAGAGTGTGAATACATGTTTTACTCTAGGATTTCTATTACTCAAACACAGCATACCCAAGGGATGTTTTTCACTAAAATAAGAAATATCACAGATTGATAAACAACATTTCTTAGGTATTTTAACTTTTTTATTCAACAAGAAAAAACTGTTTTTGTACATATAGAAGAGATTGCAGAGGTCATTGAAAATAAACAGATATGGTGACAAAAGAAGAACCCTATCAGAAAACCATTGAGTAAAGTCTGAATTTTCACAGTACCAATTTCCTGTCTGACCATGGAACCAGAAAAATGGTCTCTGACCATACAAACAAGTGTTCCCATTATCAGACCCTTTACACTACTTACAATGCAACACATGATGCAGCGATAAAACAACAAATGTATAACCAATTGTTTAATACATTTTATCAGAAGATAGATTATTAGACAGGCTGAAGGTCAAATAAAGAGGCATACATCTCTGACCAAATGCATGTGGCCTGCAGTGACATATTTCCAATTCATTTGCAAACTGCTAAGCATTACCTTCTGCTATTAGCCCATCAATGAAAACAAATAATTTTTCAGGAGAATCTTTTTTAAAAAACATTTTTGCAAAAATATTTGGTGTTTGTTTTGGCATGGCATGTCATTATAATCATATAAATTGTCACATAAGAATATGATACATCTTGCAGTGAAAAAAATATATACATTTCCTAACAAAAATATTAGTCTTTGAAAAAGTATGATGAAAAATGCACAAAACAATATCTGAAAAAATCTTACCCTCTCTACACCTCAACCCTACTACACATAGTTTAACAAAGATGCTATTGATTTACTAAATATAATATGGTTGTGTTGAACAACAATGATTTGTATTGGTTTAAAAAAATGTTTTTTTGACAGAATAGTGTGCGATAGATAGTAGAAATGAGGCACAGTGGTGAATTCAGGAGGCACACTGGTCGTCTGCACAGTAACACAGAAGTTCAGTTCAGAATTTGGTCAAAGGTTTGGTGTATAAAGTATATAAGCCCAAACCAGCAAAAACAATCTAAACACTAAAGAGTTTTTAGAATTAATTTGATATATATATTTCATATAATTATCATTGTCCTATTCTCATTTTAATTTCAGTTTTCTTCTGCTTATAAAAGGTGTCAAGTGAGTGAAGTTCACAAGCACTCTTCTGCTTACACTTGTCGCCTCTATTAAACTTCAAGTACTCAAATTTGTGCCAGGGCACGGGAAGCCCTGAGATAAAAATGAACACGTGTTGTTCTGCTTCACTTCACATTTAAACCATTTACTGTATGCACCTCACTCTTTTGCACCACAGTGCCAATTTCTATCTTGTTCTTCCACATTCATTTCAATGCAATCTTGTTCTGTAACATAATGCCCTTTAGCGCACATCCCACCCCTGCCCAAGTTTAACTCAATAAAGAAAATCTATATCTACATAATATCCCAAAATAGAAGCCAAGTAAACATTTTAAAATGTTAAACTTAACTAAACAAAACATCATACAGTACAGGCCAAATAGGCATTTATCAAAACGTTTTTTTAAATAACTACACATGAATAAAAACATCTCAGACAAACTGACCTAAGCTAAACTGAGAAGGATATTTACAAGAGTAAATTAAGTTGATATAATAGAGATACCACGTTTTTATATTCATATAAATGTATGTGTGATGTACATGTGTGTGTGATAAATAAGATGTAACATCTATCAATAGGAGGCAAACTCTTTAGGGATCAAACTTCAAGTGCTGCATTTAGCAATGATCAGTCATTAACTTTACATTTATGACAAAAATAAATCATAAATAAATTATATGGGAATGTACACATTTGCGGAATACATCTAATATTATTTCGTTTTAAGTGATTGCCTGCTGTCACAGTGTCTTTAAGTTACTACGCCCAAGGACCACAAATATAATGAATTCTCAAATCCTACACGCTGGCATTTGTTGAATAATTTAAAATCAGCCAGTCCTTCAAATTATTGGAAATATGTTGTGGAAACATACGAAGGATATATAGATTTTATTTCCAAGAAACAGAATTCCAAGCACCTAAAATAGTAGCATAACTGTGTATAAAATGACATTAAACTGTCACCCTTTCAAATAGTATAAAACACAGGAAAAAGTGTGAATAAACAGACATCAATACCTTGTATATTTGTCAAGGGTTATATAGATATTCAATATATTAATTTAAACAATGTATTCGTTTAATATTAATAACATCTTGATGAAGGATTTTGAATCACATACAATTAAACAAGGACAGCTATTCAGTTCCTACCAAATGAAAAACATGTTTTAAATAAAATCTTGACATTCATATCAGACTTTTCAGAACCTTCTGTCACAGGGCTGTGTAACCATGGCAAATTTATAAATATATATTTCTAATGTCATTTCAGCTAAACCAAGAAGAGTGAATGAAATGTGCAGAGTGCTGTAAATATTTTAGGTCCGCGGCACACTAAGTGCAGCATCCTCTGAAAACAGCTGACTGACCCCTCTGAATTTAATTCACTGTTATTTCAATGATGTGGTCGTGGAATTGTAAGTTTATTATTGTGCAATGTCTTTGTAGAAAGCATGTTCCTCACAGTATTGCCTAGTTGGCAAAACATGTTATATTGGACTTTAAGAGATGTTTGTTTTTTTAAATTTTAAACTTGATGTAGTTTGCTTTGTTACAGGAACAAGCATCTTTCCGAGATATTAAACCATTATTTGCATTAACATTATTTGGCTGAGATTGACAACATATTTACAATAAAAAGCATCCTCAATTGGATTATACATTACTGGGTGTACAACACAGTGTGTACTTTAAGGACACTTTAAAGACATGCTAGGCACAGAGAGGTGAAGACTAGCACATACTGGCCGGGTTTCAGTGGTCCTTCGCTACTATCGGGTCATCAGATCAACATCTGCTCACATCGCGTCCTCCTTCTTCTCAACCAGTGTCAGTGTCCATGTCAGTCAGTAGGTAAATGTCAGTGTGCCGGGACAGTTGCATCTGAAAGAGAGAGGACAGGATTTAATACAAATGGTTAATTACACATATCAATCCTATAAGCATTACTTTACCAGGATAACCTGCATGGCAACAGGACATGTTTTCATATGATTTGGCCACGCCATGCCGTATTTGTCTGATTCTCAAGTTCACGTATTAATGAATGGTTTTACAATTAGGAAGTTATTCAGAACTTAATCTTCATACATTGCACAAAAAAAACATAAGATGACATGCTTATAGGGCTGCAAAACACAGTCCAAGCTGATGTTTTTAAATGTCTTGTTTTGTATATCTACAATCCAAAGATAATCAGCTTCATTTAATATAAACTCCGAAAAGTCCTGATCATCAAAAGTTCACAATTTGAATTTGATTGTTTTAAAATTACAGATTCATTAACGGTGCTCACCTTACAATAGGTCAAAATGTTACTTTCCAAACTAAACTTTCCTCATTTAATCCAGGAAAGCGCTGAAAATGTATTATTTATCCTAAAATAACTGCCATCATCCTAAAATGTCACCATTCAATCTGGTGAGAGGAACGTAAACAGCTTCCTTATGTGTTACCTTATCACCACCTAATGAGCAGTACAGTAGGGCAAGTTATCAAGTTTAGTACTTATTTATAAAATTAACATTACAAGACTGCCGAAAAGACAATTCTCTAGTTATTTCTGAGGTATTGATTTATTTTCTGTATGATACAATCAAGAATTTTCTGTATTTAAAATAGACTTGTAGTTGAAACACTTTCATGTATAAATCCTTTAGACATTCATACAGAAGACGCCAACAAATGTCCTTATATCCAGACTTTCCCATTTATTTTTGAACACATGGGGTGCTTTATCACATTGCAAGGACAGACACTTATTCATTAAATCCCAAAGAGCAGAAATTAGTATCTTAATCTACATCGAATCTATCCCTGGAAAAGTTCAAATGTGCTTTAGCCATGAGGTATTCATTATGTCAGCAGTTACCTTGAGTAACTTTATGAAAGATTTTGAGAACTCTGAACCCGAGACCAGTTTCTCGGAGTTTGACAATTAGTGAAATCCTGTTTACTTTATCCAAGCTGTACTCTAACAGAGGCTGACAGCAGAAACGATGGCACTCGTTGTATATGAAAATATGAATATTCAATTTTTTCTAAACAAGTTTGAATTCTCATAATACTTTTATTCTTAGTAAAAGAAACACACACATTTAAAAAATAAACCAACAGTGTTGAGAACAAACCCACATGTACGAAGTCAAACAGATTACAACTTTTTCATTTATAAAAGGAAGTCTTAAATGAATCGGTGGACACACTGTAGATGCAGAGCACCCAATTCAGCATCAACATTTTCTACATGCAAATAAATCTGACTTGACTATTTATTATCCACAATATGACTGCTTTTTAAAGGTGGATTACAGATTGGAAACCCTCTGAGAAAACTGGGGATCATGGGCTATATATAGTACAAGTAACCTTGTAATGGATTTAAACATTTCAACCATTTTTTTATGTTTTTAATTCTCTGCATAGCAGTTCAAATAAATCCCTATATTTATTTCAGAACTTAAAATCTATAAATTGCAACATAACATATTTATACAATATATTTCTATGTAGCTTTTCCCAAAGGCAACCATTCTGCATTAGAGGTTTATCATGTTTTTAATACTTCAATACTTCTATGGATCTTTATTCAACACCTAAACTCACAGTTAAGAATGTATGATACAACTCGTGCACAGTACTACAAGCTTATCTTCCTTCACACTTAAGCTTTGATTCACTGATAAGCTCACTTTAGCATTTGAGAGTCACTGGCATCCTGATTATTTAGGCACTAAAAGAGGAAGGGGTGAGTGTCATATGAAACTTTGCTTGAATGGAGTCTGTTAAAGAGATACTTCACACACAACATGACTTTTCTATATCATAACTCCCCCATCAATTCTTAAAACAACTCCATGGTTAACAAAGAATCAAAAACTAAGATTATGGATGAATTGAAGTAAAATTGGCCGGATTTAATAACAGCAAAACTATTTAAAAAAACATTAGCTCACCAACTGTCACATAACTCGGCGCAGGTTTTTAATCCTGTCGTATGCTCACTACTTCCCAAACACATTGATTAACATGCATTTTCAGTAAATTCATACTTTTAAAAAAACCTCCACATAACAGATGTTTTGATATCATTTTGCTGTTGTTAAATGCGGCCCCCATTCACTACAATTCAAACCACTTTCTCAGTTTTTCTGAAGTATTAAAGTTAACACAGGGTGTGAAATTGATTTACAAAATTATTATTTTGTGGATAAAGTTTTACATCAAAGGGGGTTAACACAACAGTTTTCAATATGCAACACTACAGCAGGTTTTTAAATGACTCTTCTTTAGACTTTGTCAGACAATAACAGTCCTCCATTTAAGCCATTCAAATTGGATTTTACAATGCAAGGCTAATTTTTTGATTTGAAAAAAATCCCCATTGACAGGCTTGGTTGTACAATCTTTCAACTCTGGACTTTACAGAACCAAGAATAAACTAGGACGTAACAAATGATGAGTATGGTAATACATGATGCTCAAACTGTGACATGTTAGACAGGAATCAGCTCAAACAATTTGAAGGCTAACGGCTGATTAAGAGGCCGTTATCAGTGGTTATCGCTACCGTTCTAATGCGTGCAAATTTAAAACAACACAAACAAAATAGTTGTTTAGGTTTATGCAACCAAACTGCTTTGTTATGGCTAGGAGAAAAAATGTGTTTGTGTTAAAGTGACTATGCTTGTGAAGCAAAAGTGACATAATAAGATGTAAACAAAAAGACAAAACAAATTGTGAATGTATATGGGGGCGCCAACACCAGTCTCCTGGGTAATGGTTCCCTGTTCACATCCCCCACCCCTAATGGAGTTTCTCGTGACATCGCCTGCCTTTGCTTTTGTCATATTTGCTAAAGTCACTAGAGGTAGGTGTCATCTTCTTGATTTCCTTCTTCTGGTGATCAAACGTGTGATAAAACCTATGTGGGTGTAGCAGGCCCCGTCCGACACACTATGGGGCTGATAACCACTGAAATTAACCCATTTAAAATCAGCTGATAATAATCAAATTGGGTACATTTAGGGCTGGATATCATTTGGTGATTTTTGGTACATATAGTTGCTTTAACATCACTTTTTTGAGAACTATTTGACAATTGTTATTAAATAGTTCGATGCAAAAATCCAAAGAATCAAAACAGCTGCAGAGACGGTTCAGAGGAATGAGACAATGGAGGATGTTGAGGTAGACAGGGTGAAAATAATAACACTACACTGGGAGGTAATCAAGGTAAACAGAGATCAGACTGTGGGATGCAGCTAGCATTTAGAGAACAAGCCAAATAATAAGGCAAAAAAAGGATTTAAAGACTACTGTTACAGTTAGGTCTGTTAATACTTATTGGAAACAATGGTAAGAAACAACAAATCTTTCAATAAATCTTTTGCATATCTTTCTGCTTCTCACATGTAGGAAAATATAACATTTACAAAATACTAACTTAGTCTAAAATCATCCTGTCTAAATCCTTTAACCTTCACTGATCTCCATCATCCTCCTTCTGACATCCAAAGTTGTGTGAAGCACAGAGACTGTGGGAAATGTCTTCATAAAGATGGGGTGAAAATACAAACTGAGGTGCTTGTTTTTCAAAAGTCTGATAAAATGTTATAAAAAAGCTGGTGCACTTTCTGTAGGTCTCCACTTGCAGTCAGAGACATTTGTTAATAACGTTTCTGTTCATATTATTCGTCAGCTCTGTGAACAGAAAAGTTATTAAAAAAATATCCCTGACAAAAAGTGAAGAAGACAGTATGGAGTGTTTCTTTTGAGATTTCATTTTACAAAAAATTGGGTTTAACGTCAATGGAGAACATATGTTATGAACCATTTCTGTCAAAGTATGTCGCTTACAAGCAGAGGTGGTCATAGTTGTTGCCTTTAAGGATTGTAAAAATTATTCATTTGCCAAATGATGCAGATATATTTCCTTATCAAGCATTAAACACTGCCCTTAATTGTGCTGGTGCATTATAAATTGAGTTTGTTGAGTACCTAAGTAGCACCACATTCTGATACCCAGCCCTACACAAAATCAACATGTGATGCTACATGATCTACACAAGTCTTGGTTGTGTACAGGGCTCAGTGTTTCCGAGAGGAATGCTGGTGGTTATTGTCCTGTTCGGCACTACGAGTCGTATTCAGAGTGCTCCTCTATCAACATGGCAGGTGGATTGCTTACCCTGCTGCCAAAGTCCAGGCAGGAAACCCCCAGGGCAACCAAGCAGTGCCAGGCCTGCAGACAAAAACACAGGGGGGGGGGGGAGAAGAAGTCAAGACACAACAGGGTATGCAAGAAATATGTTGTTTCACTTAAACATTCCTAAATCAGAACATTTAAATACATTAGACAGTTTTCAAAACTAAAATGTATTTAATCATAACCCTAACCCTGAACATCACAAATAAATCAAACTGTTCTTTTTTTTTACCATCTGTAAGTAAGTAACTATTTGTATACCTACATTTGTAGCACCTTAAATGTTGGATTACTGGATCCTGGTTGAGTTTGATTGTGATTGTGATTAACCTTAATTGCTTCAGTTGTCTGCACTTCACTGTGTTTGTTCTCACAATTAGAAATGTAAGAATGAAGATAAGACATATATTGATTGTTAGATAAGTTTAATTACTACAATGGATTTATTAATTTAGGTGATTGTAACTATTGGTTAATATGGGGAAAAGAAAACTAGGTTGGCAGCACTTTAGTATAACCACATATTTTCTGTAGCAAGATCAAGAGCAAAAGGTTTATCCTACTATGCTCGTCACTGATTCATTGTCTGCATTAAAAAAAAAAAGGTTACCAAATGTCAAAGTACTAAAACCAAATAATGAGAAGTAATTCGACTCACCAGGTAGCCCACAAAGCACAGATAGGCCAAGGAGAGCAGAGCAGCGAGGACATAGAGCAGCACACTGTGCAGCGCCGTGACGTACACCACCACAAAGTACATGTTGATGGCACAAACCACCAGGATGACGATGCCTCCTGAAATCTTCCACACCCTGAACAAACAGACAGTTCATTAGACCATTGGGAAATAACGGGTTTTTAACAGCTTCCTGGAAAGTGTTCCATCTAACCACTGAGTAAATTCCTAGTTTGCATAATCCAATATTGGTCTGTCAGAAAACAACATTGGATGAGTATCATCCTATATGTTGTTAAAGAGAGGAACATTCAGTTTCAAATAAAACTGTCTAGAACAGAATCACTCACATGACCTTGAGCAAAGAAGTTGCATGATTTCTCAATGAATAAGTAAACACAGACCCCCATCACAAAACATTTAACAAAAAAGGCTGTCAAAGAAAGATCTCCTCCCTGCCATTTTTTTTGTTTATAAGTTAGATTAACTTTGATACTAAAACATCCTGAATAGTCAAGTATTAATGATACAAATAAATCACATTTTACTCACATTCCGTTTGCAAAGTCGTTCATAATAGATTTCATACTGGTGAAGGTCAGAATTGGGATCAAGGCAAAAGGAAGCTGTTGAACAGAAAGTAAGGTCAGTGAATATGTTTACAGTTTCGTACGACAGAATAGGACAGAGTAGCAGTGGGTTAAAGTCACACATTTTCCCTCATAAGGGCTTTCACTAATTATTCTTCCTGACCTGCATGCTTTGAAGAACGTTCAGGAAGTCGTTCATCCCCGTCAGATGCTTAACATCCTGAAAAATGGCGACCAGCAGTGTAGGAGTGATGGCGATGGAGCGGGTCAGCAGAACCCGCGCAAAACGGGACCAACGAAGGTTCAGGAATCCCTTCAAAAACACAAAAGAAAAACCTGAGCACACACACACACATTTGTTTTTATAAACATTTCAAGGTACCAAAACACACTCCTACCTCCATGACAAACTGCCCAGAGTAAGTGCCTGTCATGGTGGAGCTCTGTCCAGCTGCCAGGATTCCTATGGCCCAGATGTAGAGGGCTGCAGGTCCAAAGATACAGCCCAGCACAATTCCCTAAGCAAAAAAACAGACACGGAAATAAGTTATCAATCTATTCATCCCTACAACAAGACGGAGAGATGGTTATCTGAAGTTAAAATGCAGGTTCACAAACTATTGTATATTAACTGCAAAAAAACGCTACGTATATAAACATAATAAGTATGTACAGTCGTAGGGGAACCCACACAGGATTGAGACACATCTCAAATATCATTAAAAGATCTGCGATGCGTTCCTATCCTCTCGAATACGTCATGAAAAAAATATAGATTTTGTTCTATGCACCAATACTGTAAGTATATCTGGTTTTTATTTATAGGAAGTGACGTTATATGTCAAGACACGATTATATATTACTGTTGGGAGGACGTACCCCTTTGTAGATGTCCACCTGCAGTGTCTCGTTGTTACGAGGGAAGAGATCGTTTGGCAGGAGGCCGGTTTCATTGCACTTTTGATTCTGAAACCAGGAACACAAACACATGTTAAGACACAACTCTTGGCTCTGCACAATGTGGGTCAACCGTACTAAACAGAAAATATCTTTGTTGTTTTAGTATGAAGAACAGCAGTAAAGAGGGCAGGATTCTCACCATGTCATTATTGGTTTTGCCGTAGAAGGCCTCGGCAAAGACCGCTACGACAAAGACGTTGATCAGGAAGGAGATGAACAGAGCGATGGTTGCCTCGATGAAGTAGTACTTGTTGGCTTCCTTTACTTCATTCTTATTTTTCCGATCAATATCCCGAGACTTGTATAAAAGGAATCAAACAGAATAACACAACCATCAAACAACCAACATCTGCTTTAAGAATCTTTAAAAATGGCATTTATAATGCTGAGCTTTTCAATTACTATTTTATATTGTATAGGAAAGACAAATGGGACTCACAGTTTACAAAAAATGTGTATGAATATTACAAATAGCTATAGTATTAATAATAAACATTTATTTAGAAATAAACAGCAAGTGAAGTGAAGAACAATTGACCCAGAGGTAATACAAAAATTAGTACTTTTACATTTTTTAGCCAATACAATAAAGTTGACCTCAAACAACGATGTTCTGCATTGTCAAAATAAAAACTGTGCAAACAATTTGGTAAGAAAAACAAAACTAGTTTTTCTGAATAAAAACAAATGTGCTACTAACCTTGACCAGTGCTGAGTGCAGGTAGATGTTGTGGGGCATGATGACGGCGCCTACAATTCCCACGGCCTGCTCCAGCTGCACAGACCCGCAGCCGGCGCAGTAGGGGATGAACATCCCCTTCAGAAGCTCCGCTTGGTCTGGTGCTGCCACCACATACTACGCACAGGCAAAAGAGAGTCTGTCAAAATCTGACAGCTGTCAATAAACACTTGAACTATCCAGGACATTGTAAGGGACTTTTACCTCATAACCAAAGCTCAAAGCCATTACGGTGATGAGGAATCCAAAGAAGGCTTCAAGTTTCCTCAAGCCTACAAGGAGGTACAAACTGTGTCAACACCTGGAAGCACAGCTTTCATAACACATGGAATGTTAAGTAAGTGAATCCCTACCGTATTTGTCTAGAAAGAGGAACACAAATGTGTCTGTGATGGTGATGAGGACTCCTGCCCACAGTGGTATCCTGAAGGGGAAAGAGAAGAACTACAGTAACTTCTCACCATTACAGAAATATAAGCTTTGTAAATCTCTACAAATGTTTGCAGGCGCTTCTAATGGTACCTGCCCACTGAGAGAAGGTTGAGAGCGATGGCACAGCCAATGACCTCCTGCATGTCCGAGCCAATAATCGCCAGCTCCACCATCACCCAAAGCATGACCCGAGGAACCTGAAACAGAAATAAAAGAACGGATATAATCAGAGAGTGGAAGATGATGTCATTTAGCAGCGTTTAATACTCTAAATTATGTCATTTAGCAGCGTTAAATACTCTTAAAACAGGATATTAAAAATGTAGGGCTGTTGCGGTTGATGTTTTATATTAAAAGCTTCTATTGAGTTTGACCAAAAAGGCTTTAATGACTGTCATCATATTTTTCTTTCTGACCCTACGAAAAATGTTAAATAAAGTGATTGATTGGATTAACTGATTTTTCATCAAATCAAATGTATCTAAAGAATGTCACTTGTCCATCAGGCCTCCCTTTGTATGACAAGCAGGGGAGAGCAAACTGTTCTTTGTCAGCAATGAAAACATTGTTTTTGGAAAACTAAAAACCAACAAACTGAATTTAATTAAAGTAGAATATTTGATTAGGAAAATAAACGTTTTGGATAGGCTCTGGAGGTATTGGAAATGTTTGGATCAGAGACATTGACACACAACAACCCTTGTAATCTAATTCTTCAAATAGTAGAATACTAATACCAATATTGTAATCTTATCTTGATCAGTGACATGCAAAAAAAAAAGAAAATAATGAATGAAGGTTTAAAACTTTACTCTATTTGGTATAGCAAAAATGGAACACTCATTTTGACACTCTTAACTCACTCACACATTCAGTCCCATCCCATTCATAAAAAGTTAATGTACAACAAGAAAGGGGAAGTTAATATGCGTTATGAGTGCTGAAAGCTCACTGTGGAATACTGGCGGTTGCAGACTTCAGCCAGGTGCATCCCCGTGACGACCCCGAGGCGCGCAGCCAGCCTCTGCAGCAGCAGCCCGATGATGGTGGCTCCGAGGAGGATCCACAGGAGCTGAGACACAAAGACAAATAAATCAGAACAATCACTTTCCCTAAATGTAAGTCATTGCACCTATGATTACTTTTCTTAGAGAAATACTGTATGTTGATGCAACCTATTTTGTGTGACAATTGAGCAAGAGACAGACGACACATGACTAGAGGCCATTTGCCTTCAAAATAAAAGAATACTGATACTAAAATGTCACCTTATAGCCGGCTTTAGCTCCGGACTGCAGGTCGGACTCGATGTTCCCTGGATCCAAGTAAGCAATGCTCATCAAAAACCCCGGTCCAGTGAAGGCCCAGAGTTTACGGAAGCTGAACATCTGAATGGGAAAAAGGTCACATTTAGGCATTACTGATAACATGTGATTTGATTGATATGGAGTTGTATACATTCCAAAATAAAGTGTGTTAAGCTTACCCAAATCTAAAAAAATTATACAACTCCAATAAGTTTAAAACATTATACTTGATCTTTGAAACTGATGATCGCAGCCACATGTACATGATTACATACGTACCCACACTTAAGTGTGTGTTTTGCTGCTTGTTTTACATGAAACAGTGGTATATAAGGATCTTACCTGGCTGACATTGTCAGGAATGGCCACCTTGTCCTCAAAGTATGTGGAGAAGGGTTCATCCTGGGCTACTGGTGAGGAAGGAGGAGAGACGGAGCTGTACTGGTTTGTCTCAGCTTCATTCTCCTGAGGGGAGTCCTCTGACAGAAACAGAGAAGAAAAACAAAATTTGGTGCCATTATGACAAATATCTTTTTAAACATGGATTTCATTTTTGTAGTTCTGAAAGTCATTTCTAAATGTTTAATGATAAACTCTCTACTGACACATTTCATTGCTACAACAGTGTTGCAGTTGGCCATGCTACATGATTTGAGTATTGACAGCTAGGTGGGAGAAAAGTACCTAGTATTAAAATGGGTTCATAAATTATGTTTGGTTTAATGTAAATAGAAAATAATTGTTGTGATACTAGAAAAATACTTTAGCAACAGCACTTGATGCTTTTCAACATAGCCACACTCTCAAACCTCTGTTCACCTAACCTTAACCCAAATTGTACAGCAAGGTTAGCATGAATTCAAACAAAATGAAATTGGTTCTGACTAAACCATTTTTCTTTTTACTTTCTAAAGAGCTGAGGTCTTGTTATGAGTTAGCAGACATACAGCAGATACCCAAGGAACAACAACAGCTCTGCCATTCAAATATAAACTAAAACAGATATTTCAAGGTGAACAGAAGACAAAACACAGCTTCCGTCTGAGACTTGTCTGAACAGCAGCTTACTGCATGGACTTAAAGATTGAGCCACAGTTTTAATGACCAGAAGCGACATATTCTCAATATATTCTCATATTGTCTTTACACAATAATGTTAAGACCTGTAATTATGACCCATTATTCAACTCCTAAGCCCAAAGTACCAACAAACATGTTTTCTGAGAACACAATGAAAGGAAAATGATTACAGTCAATATTTACAAGAGTAACATCGCAGAAAAAGCTCTTCTAACTCTTGTGTTTACCATTTCTGACAAATGATATACCAGAAAACATTGTGTACTACTCACTGAGTTTGGACCTTTCATTATTTCCTTCCTTCATTTCCAACTGACGGCTGCTCCCACAGTCCGCTGCTCCTAACAATGACTCTGCTTGAATGACTTTGCCTTAATCATCACTTTTGTTGTCATTCGTCGCTTAAAGACATTCTTACATCCTGTTTCTAAAAATGAGCCCCAAAAGACAGAGAAGTAAAGTACGCACGCCAAGGCACACATCTGCTCTTTTATTCATAGAGGAAAACCGAACCATAGCACAAATAGTAATAGTAATAGCAGTGTGACCTGCCCTCTGTTTGCCCTTTAATGATTAAACCATTTGCCGGATGAGATCTGTCTGTCTATTCAAAACACACCTTTTTTAATGTGCTTTGACTTGGTCTATTACATGTTATGTATGTCTGATGCTGGTTTACTGTTTTAACAAATTATCATACACCTTATGTCTAATTTCAATAGTTTTAAAAATATTATCATATACCTTATCCTCATTTATTCTTCTATGATGTTCTCATCTAATACTTTATTTTTTCATTTTATTGGATTTTTTTATGCTGCGTTGTAAAGCACTGTGATTTATGTTTTTAAAGTGTTACACAATATACATTCAGATACTTAAATTATTCCAAGGAAGAAAGAAAACAAATGTTATTTTTTATAAATATGAGAGTTTGAGTTTTCAAAAGTCAAGCCATGGCTCTGGGGCAACATGTATATAAAAAGTGTTCAGTATTCTTCAGTAAAATATTGTTTTAAGCCTCTCTGTCAGCATGCACGCTGACACAGAAAGAGGATTGCAGCCCTAACCCAATGGCCAGAGTGTGTAATGCTGGAGAACACAGAAGGTGTGTCTGTAACGTGATGGTCGTGTTTCTGTTGCTTTACCTTCCAGGAGGTCTTCGTCTTGCTCGGCCTTCATCAGGGCAGGCTGAGGGATCCCTGGGAACTGGAGGGATGAATATCAGCCTCCCTGGAATACAACAACAACAGATACATCATCTTGAGGAGCATGAAAGACATGACTGTTGAAGGTAAAACAGTAATTATCACATAAGTGATGCTTTGCACTCAAACAACCATTGAGCTAAAATGACTGGATTCCCAAAGAGACTTACTTCAGGTTTTCTCAATAACAGTAAATGCAAATATGAATGTATATCATGAAACATTTGCAAAATGGTCTTGCCCTTTCCCCTTTTTATTAAAACATAATTGATTCGATTTATTTAACAAATATGCCGTTTCATTGATTGGTCTATAAAATGTCAGAAAATAGTGAAAAATGTCTGTCCCAGGTTCAAAACCCAAGTTCATGTATTTGAATGTCTACTACTTTCAGTCCAAAGCCTAAACAAACTAAATTAAAGAGTATAAAACAAAGAAGCCAGAAATATCCATATTTTCTAGGCTGAGAAAAGCGTTCCAAGCCATTTTAGCTTAATAAATGACTTTTTATTAATTGATTAATCAAATTTGCCGTTGATCAACTAACTTTTCTCAGCTGTTCAAAGCTCTGATTTATTTTAGACAAAAGAGGCCATATCACTAAATGATGATAAATACAACATAAGAACAACAACACAGAGATATAGCAGTTTGCAAGTCCACAGTGACTAAAACAAAGTAACATTTCTTTCCAAAAAACAAGAGAAATACCTTGTGACATTTATGTGTGGGCTCAGTTACGGCCATTTTGGTTGCAGAATTAAAGTCGGGAACATTTCTAGTCACACGCTTATGACTTGCAATTATCTTGGGAGCTTGCGTAATTTTCTGAATGCATCATTAAATGCCACCTAATGTTTTTCATTAAAATGTCTAAGTCATAAAAATGACTCTGCAACATTAAGAGCATGTGAGAGGTCACTTCCTTAATGAGAACCTTTAACAGTAAACCTTGAGTTGACCACCGGCACCAGTTTCACTTCCACATGCACCCTTCCTCTCACACTCGGCTCCACAGTAAAATTGATACCTCTTTACTTAACACCCCGAAAATTAAATGAAAAAACATTCAGTCCACACAGAGACAACAGTTTTATATAACGGCAAGTTATTTGAGACAGAGAGTGTAGCTTCTTTAAAAAGCATGTGACTATGGGATCATACGAGGCAGCAGACAGAGCTGCTTTAAAGGTCAACGGTTTCATCTGAGTGTCTCTTTCTTTAGTTCACAACTCAACATGTGCTCTGTATTGTAGTATTTGGCTTTATAAAAAGTGATACAATCCTGGGTACTTTGCTTAGTAGCAGCAACAATTCATTTAAAAAGATTACATTTTGAGAAATGATATTCGTTTACAACAAATGTGTTTCTTCAGTTTTCTGCATCTCTGAAGACACTTAATTGTTGTGTGTTCTCACGTGGCTGCAGCCAGCAGTCAGAGTGAATGAACTAGGAAGAGTACAAAATGAGGTTTGAAATGCGGTATTATTTTGAAACTAAGATTTCTTTGCTCATAAAAAACATAAACGATACCGAACCAGCTAAACTGGTCAAAATGATCCTATAATTGAATACCATTGACAATGTATGCAGACACACATGATGATGGAATTTTCTCCAATAATTTTTCCCAACATCAATCAAATCAAAACAACTCCACGAAATCTCTAAACAAATGTGTCTCTCACTCCACTAAATGACTGCCTCATCTTATTATATACTACCTATGTTTAAATAAATGTTTTTATGTGATGTTATTTTTACACATTTACTTTAATTTCTAATGGTCATTTATATGTTTGTATTTTATTTCTTTTTTATATATATATTTTATTATTCTAAAATGGAGAAACTGTCACAAAACCCAACTCCCCCGGGCTAAGACATTATTCTGACTGATAATGTTAATAATAAAAACATTATTTTGCAGAGGATCATGTTGATCAAGTAATGTCTCACAGTAAGTTTTCCTGATGAAGATCAAAACAGGACTGTGTGCAGGTATTTACGTCAACTGCCTTTGTCTTATCACCTGGTTAAATAATAGATCAGCTTAGTTCTGTTCAGCTTTTGATCAACCTACAGAAAAAAATACATTTTATTGCAGAACCTTGTGACTTGGTTTTGGATTTTCACACATCGTCAGGTTATTTTTGTACACTGTGCTATCTGACATAAGTATTGGCTGTACTGGTCCCAGACCCAGTGTGACCCGAATTCTACTCTTGAAGTTGTAAAACTGCCTTTAAAATGTGTCAGAACTTGTCTTTTCAAACTCCATGGACAATCACGTGTAGGTGGTAATAAAAGAGATTAAGACTCCGACTAGGTTTCCCAGAGGCAAAGAATGTGGTAGAACTTAATCCATATATTAGACTCAACTTATGCCATCACCTACATGAGTCAAAAAGTTGGAATTGACTATTTTAGATTAGATATTACTTTATTGCCACACAGCTAGGCTTGTGGAAATAATTTCAGTACGAGCAAGTTTGGAAATAATATAACATTTGAAAGTCGTAAGCTTAGTAACAAATCTCATCACTTGGTCACAAACTCAACTGACTTCCCCAAAAAGCCTTGGCCTCAAAAAACATCATAGGAGCCTAATCTGCATCGAACAGCTTTTACAATCATTAAATCTACGACAACTCCCAAACTGACAAATATTCTCTAATGTTACACCCCCTAAAAGGATAGCTGTAGCAGGCGGTTATACCACAAGAAAGAACTAATCTCAACACAGTAATGCCAAAGCAAAAATCTAAGAAAACTTTAATGTTAGGCAAATATTGCGGGGAAAAAAGTCAATCAAGAACCCTGCAGACACATTATGTTGCAAACATACAAATACTCCCTTCCCCCCAGCAACAAACTGCTGTGTCTGCTGCCGTCTGGCTGGCTGTACCCAGCATCAGGACAAAGACCAACAGACTCAGGGACAGTTTTATCAAACAGGCCAAAAGACTGCTAAACGCCTGAACTTGCACCATTTGTATTGTTTTTTTGTATTCGTTGTATGTCTTTTTTATATTTATGTTGCAATGTTGGAGGAACCTGTGACCTAAGGTTTTCATTTCACAACTACACTGTAGCTGTGTATATGACATTACAAACTTTGAACCTTTTGAACCTAAAGTACTACTACATTTTAGTAGGGACTCTAATTTATCCCTACCTCTGTTCACATAAAGCCATGAGCTTGCTGTGTTGCTATGTCCAGGGACTACAGATGAAAAATAGCCTCTTGACTAGCATTTATAAAAATGTCCATTAATGTGCACTTTAATTGTTAATATCAACTAATACACTTTAATAATGTATCAACGTCTAGTCAATTACGGTTAATAACATCTTACCCTTAGATTGTCAGAAAATACATGTTAAATGTGAGACGGTGAAACTCAGTTGTACATGTTGAATCTGAATAAATGTAATGGTGACGACGATATAACCATGACTGTATTAGGGTCAAAGTGTATCCTAATGACTTCATCAACTCAGTATGATGCTCTGATTTCCAGCTTTGACACGTGAGTCAACCCACCGATTGTAGTGCTCACAATAACATGATGTACAAAATAATCTCTTTAAATTGCTGCATTTTGCCTTTAAGTACAACATATGTGCTTGTTAGAATTAAGTAGACAGGTCATTCATGTACTGCTGCAATAGTTTTTAATTAATTTGACAAAGCCCCAAAGTAACATTAGTAAGGAGCTAACCAGAACTTCACCGTTTGGCCCCTGGTCTTGATAACTTTAAATACATGGTGATGTGTCTGCAGTCAAACCAACTAGCTACAAAACCCTTTATATATGTAAACTTAAAACCCTTCTAACAAACACGCTTATAAAAACCGTAAACACCAACTCTGTCGCTTTACTGTAACTATATTATTGTGATCGAGCTAGTTTCCATGGTACCGTTAGCCGTCAGGTGGGATCTGCTAACCTACCTTTATCAAAGTATGAAAACGCTCTTACCTGTGTTCACTTTATGGGAGGGTACAACAGCAGGTTGTGTTTTGACGATTAAAGCGGCTTTTAAACTGACATCATCTTTGTAAATCTCCAGGTGGCTAGCTAAGTAGCACGTTATCAAGCTAAATTCTGGCAAAGTCGTATATTTCCATGTCAAATGTAAGTTGAAGACTTAGTGCGCATGTGCAGTCATTTTACTCTTCTGATTAGTCGAGGAGTAAGCTTTGTGGGCCCTGGGTTTAGCCTGTCAGGCCGTCTATTCTTATAATAATCTCAACCAGCTTCAACAGCAGTGGAATAAGTACTCAGATACTTTATTTAAGTAAAAGTAGTAATATTACAGTATATGAATACAGTATTCGTATACTAGTAAGCAATACGTTGGCTTTAAACATAGGTTTGAAGTCAAAGTATTGCTTTCCAAATCTTACTTGATACAAATTATTGACATCAAAGTATACTTCAAGTACCAAGGGTGAAAGTACTGATTATTCATAATGGTCCATTATAAAATGATCTAAGATATAATTATTGATGCATTCAATCTGTCAAGGTGGGGCTAATTAGTTTATACACTATTGTATCCAATATAATCAATTTTAATTTATTAGTTAATTTAATTTTTTTATAACGTATTATTTAAAAGAAAATTTGTAAAGAAATGAAAAGTAAATTAGGTTAAAAGCAAATAAGCAGTTTGTGAACCAACATTCAGCAGGTCAAAGACCAGTTGACCATTTCAAAGGAAAATTAAATTAAATATAAAAATAAATACATTAAAAACGTTTTAAAATGTAAGGTGAACAATATAGTAATAATATAATATAATAATTAATCAGTGACCACATAAAAGTAATGCTATAAACTATAGTATATTTACTATATACTTTTTAAATATAAGTTAGTACGTTCAGTTTATGTTATAAGGGTGTATGTGTCTATGTATAATTTGAATTTAACAAAAAACAATGAAGTTTGTTACAAAGACAGATCATGGATGTATAATGGGACAGATCATGGATGTAATGGGAGAGATGCCTTGCATGTTCTGACCATAGGTTCTGACGTGACATTAAAGTGCTTCTAAATCACGTTTCTTTCATTCTTCTCGCGATATTCCGGCTACTGTGGGGTAACTAACGTTACACATCACATATCCCAGCAGCTAACTTAGCTAAAGCTAGGCTAACTAGCTGCTACAGAGTGACATGTAGTCAACTTTACAACCAGTCTCAATGAAGGAGCTTCCACAGTGATTTGGACATGGAGATAAGAAATATCAAAGACCAGGTAGTAAATAAAGCTTAATGTTAGATAACTAACAGTGCCGTTACTTCTCACAAACAGTGCAGCTAGTCATGTTAGCAGCATGTCGAGCAAAGTTTGCTACGAGGCTAGTAAATGATACAAAATCTTTGCAATGCAGACCAAGACTAAGTTTTAATTTGATGTTCGAAATTACCTTTTTTTTAATGCAACCAGACCACATATTGAGGTCATTGGGCTCACTGGTACACGAAGTACAAACCCTTCCAAACAAACATTTTAATCTTTAAATGGAATCACATTTCTCACTTGTATGATACGATTGCTAAACGTTATATGTGGAAGATACATCTAGGCAAGTCATATATAATAGTTGCAAAAAGTTGTAGGAGTTTTGCATGATTGAAACAACTCAAGTATTTCACTTCAGTCAGTAAATCCCAATGCAATAAAAAAGCTTTGAGTTGAACGTGATGTACTAATCTTTACAGGAAAAGCATTATTACAAATAAAATATTGTTTCTCGAGACAATGACATTTTCCCAGGAAATGCACAGAGAACAGCTTGTTACTTACTCTTTACTCCGACATTTAACAGTTTTATTACAACTCAGCAAAACCATGAATGTATCTTTGAATGAGATTCAATAAGTGTGCAGAAGAACTGCAACTCATTTGCATGTGATGTCAAAAGTATCCTGGTGTTTTTGGTCTGTTTATCATGTCACATCTCTCTTTCAGTCTCCATTGGTCCAGGCTATTTTTAGCCGAAACACAGAAGAAGTGAAATTTTTATTGGACCATAATGAAGATGTCAATTCTTTGGTAATATTGTCCCACATTTACTCTGCTATAACATTGTTGTTGTTGTGTGAAATTAGAATATATCATATTTTGGGTCAATTGATAATGGCAGGCTATATTAAATGATGACACATTGTTCTGCTGTAGTCTAGTGGCCTTTGTGGCTGCCATCATAGCTTTTCTTTAATTTAAATTCAAGCTTATATATGTTTCTGTTATTGCCGAGTTTGAAAAACAACTGTTACTGAAACATTTGATGCAGAAGGTAACTTTGATTAAAAATATATATGGAAAGAGTTTAATAAGAAAATAACTGATAACCTTTCCAGAATATACCAAGAAAGACATAATACAAGTAGAACCTAAAAAACTTTTTTAAAAAACGTTTCTTTTTCTTTTTTCTCAGGACCAAGAACAAAGCTCACCCCTTCATGCTGCCGCCTATTCGGGGGATGTCCAAACTATGGACCTACTTATTACTTCTGGTACAAAAACCTTATCTTAATTTGAAAAAGATCACAGTAAATGGAATCTACATACACTTTCATATTTTTGTATTGCCCTTTTCTAGTAAACTACAGAGGATCTGAAATGTTGTCAAAATATATATCTAATTTTGTTTTCGTGTCTGTTACAGGTGCAAAAGTCAACGCTAAGGACCGGGGTTTGCTGACTCCCTTACATCGAGCAGCAGCCTCTAGAAATGAAGTATGTCCCCATTTTTATTATTTCAAAATACAGCGGATAGAAGGGGCTTTTCTAAGGACTTGACCAAAAGATATTTTGGTTTGACAAAATGTTCTCTTTGTGTTGCTCCTCAGAAAGCTGTTGAACTGTTACTGAAGCACGGAGCAAAGGTCAACCCTCAGGACAAGTACTGGCATACACCTTTACACATGGCAGCTGCAAAGTGGGCCACAGGCTGTGCGGAAGCTCTGATACCACACATGTGCAGCATGGATGTTGCTGACAGGTCAGGGAGGACGCCACTGCATCACGCAGCGCACAGCGGCCATGAAGAGGTGAAGTTGTTTGTCTTCCTCCTGATTTCTTTCCATGTCCCAAGTCACTATCTATCCTCTATGTTTGATAGCTATCGTAATGGCTGCAAACAAGGACTTTGGATAGATATTCTGTCAACTGATTAATTGATTGCGACTAGTTGTTGCAACTTTTGTAACCATTGTATTATGTTTCTGCAGATGGTGAACTTGCTCCTTAAAAAAGGTGCCACTGTGAGTGCCAAAGATAAGAAGGAAAGGCAGGCAATTCACTGGGCTGCATACCTCGGTAAGTGGGGACATTGGACAGAAAGACACACATTTATTTGCATGTATGTCTCGTAAGCCAAGTCTGCAAACAGGCCAATAGGAAAGATGGTGTGTTGTGTTATGTATGTGCATTGTAGAGACTTGTGGTTAATGTTGAGCTTTTCTTTCAGGACATGTGGATGTTGTTAAGCTTCTTGTGTCAAACGGTGCGGATGTGACGTGCAAGGACAAACACGGTTACACTCCGCTCCATGCTGCAGCTGCCAGTGGACAGTTAGACATGGTCAAATACCTGTTGAGACTGGTGGTGGAGGTAAAGTATCTCAGTCATATCAGTACTGTATGCTCTGTAAAGAACCATATCTTCAAATGTGCTTAACACTGCTGCATAGGGGTGAAGTGCATTTATATAAATGTGTATTTTTTTAACAAACCAACTCTTTCAAATCAGACTTATCTTTTCCTCCTTTTACGGATTCCTCCAGGCCTTTCTTGGTCCCTTGACTTTACACTGATAATACACTTCAGTGTTTCATAGTCTCGTGCTTTCAAATCACCAGGGTTTTTTCTTCTAATCAACTAATCAATTGTTTTCCTCCTCTGTCTCTCAGACTGATGAACCTAACACCTTTGGGAGCACAGCGCTGCACATGGCCTGTCACACGGGGCAGGACGCTGTGGCCTCTGAGCTGGTCAACTGTGGTGCCAACATCAATCTGCCCAACCACCATGGCAGCACGCCACTACACCTGTCTGCCGCCTCTTCCAGCGGGGTGCTGTGTCTCGAGCTGCTAATTAACAACGGTGCTGATGTCAACGTGCAGGTAGTGAGACCACTTCTATCTTCTATAGCAGGGGTTCCCAACCTTTTTTCCCAAGAGCCCCCCCAAATGACTCCTGTTGGAAGTTGCGTCCCCCCCCCCCCC